GAAATAGAGTGTACACTATTTTCTAAATGCTACATAATATGTAATTTAGAGATGATAATTTGTGTTTTTCTAAGAATAATTCATCATTTAACATAATATTTTCTCCACTTCTAATGATGAGAGATTTTATATTTATTTACTTTTGTTTGTTTTATGTTTCAAACTCCTTGTCTTGTTATTGTGCATAGATTATTTATTTAATAATTTAATTTTTAATTTATGTTTGTTTCATGGTTCAAACTGTCTTGTTACAGTGCGAAAAATATCTACAACAAACAAATTTGTTATTATTTCTTTTTTTAAATTTGGGGGTGGGGGGAATTCTTTCGTTGTTGGAGCTGCTTCGTCGCATTTTTCCCAGCAGGGGTCGCTGCTGTGCCGGGACGTCCAGGCTGTCAGTCAGCCGCAGAGGCTGGGCAGAGCTGAGACCGAGCGGGGCGTGGACTCAGACCGAGCAGTCCCTGGCTGCTCTTACAATAAAGGAGACGGCAAAACTTCCTCTGGGAGAAGAAAAGAAAAAAGAGTGAAAAAAGAAACTATTCAGGAGATATTTACCGGTAAGAGTTTCGCCTCTGCGCATGTCTGTAAGCAGCTCTGTTTATAAGTTAAAAGGAAGTTTTGCTGTGAACCAAACTTTGACTTTTCTTAGTGAGTTTTTTTTTTTTTTTTTTTTTTTTTTTTTAGTGTTCAACAGGCCTGCGCATGAAAGTCAACGTAGACACAGATAGTTTAGTTTACACTTATTTATGCTGTAGTTGATGAAAAATGAATGGGCTTGTTTTTATTCTCCAGCTCAAACTTTTCTCAAATTCCATTTAAACTAGATACATTGCATGTCCTGTAAAAGTGTGAATGTTTATAGTTAAAACATTTCTGCTGAAAGTTGTTGAAGTCAAGAAAACTTTGCAAAAATAAAGTAAAAGTAGCAGAAACAAGTTGAAATTAGCAGACAGATGGTGAAAGACAAGGAAAAAATAAATTAATGTCTAAAACAGATACCTGGAAAACGTTAAAAAAGTACCTGAAAAAGCAGAAACTAGCACAGAAAAGTTTGCTGAATTAAGCAGTTAGAAGCGAAAAATTACCACACAATGTGAATTTAGAAGAAACAAGGTAAAACTAGCTGAAAATAGCTAAAACTTAGATAAAAGGGAAGAAGAAATTACTAGAAAGCAGTTGAAAGAAAGGCAAAATAGAAAAAAAGTAGCTGAAAAAAGCTAAAAAAAACATGTAAAGTGTTAAAATTTGAGAAAGTACATTTCCTGCAAACGTGCAGTGTGAATGCTTCATTAAAAGATTTCTGCTGAAATTAGCTGAAGTCAAGTCAAATAAAAGTAGCTAAAATTAAAATGGAAACAAAAAGTAGCAGAAACAAGCTGAAATATGCAGACAGTTGATAAAAGGAGAGAAAATAATCAAATTGGCTGAAAAACAAGAAAATAAGTATGAAAAAGTGGCAATTTGTTGTAAAATAGCTTAAATAGCTGAAACTAACTGGAAAAAAACCCAGCTGAGAAAGCATAAACTAGCACAAAGAAKCAGAAAGAGCATGTTTGCTAAAATGATCCCAGTTAGTTTGTTTGAATGATCAAATAGTTTTCTAACATTGCCCATAAAAATAAGAATGCTTTATTTGAGAGGGGGAAAAAATGTGTTTTATCTTTTCCAGATTCCATGTTTCTGRTTTTCAATAAGAGCAAAGGAGCAAAGCAGTGAGAAGTAGAGCAGCCATGGATGACATTTTCACCCAGTGCAGAGAAGGGAACCCTGTAGCTGTCCGCCTGTGGTTGGACAACACGGAGAATGACCTCAACTTGGGGTAAGCTCTTCGTCTTAATCTGCGTCCTTCATTCGTTTATCCACCTTCCTGTGAAGATGGTGATGAGTGACAGCTGGCCTCTTGGATGTTGGAATGAAGAAAACCGACAAAGACAAATTAAAGGTGGTCCAGAAAGTTTCCAGGAGCTGCGCTGCTGAGCAGCAGGCAGTGATCTCAGTCCAGCATTTTTTTTCACTGAGAATCATGTGCAAAATATGGGCGATTCCATGCAGATTTTTTTTTGTTTTATAAAAATATATTCATTACACGTGGGACCAAAAATTTAAAGTCTAGGACAGGGGTGCCCAAACATTTTCCCCGAGGGGGCCAAAATGAAAACCTATCCATGGCTGCGGGCCAAATGCAGTTATATAATACATGAAATACAAATCCTTTTTTAAAGTAAAGTCCTTTATTTTTAACGATTAAGCTGTGTAATGGCCCTCTTTTGTTTTAGTCTGTGCACYTGGAGAAAGTCTGCCATACGCWCAAGTAGCAAAGGCTCATGGGACATACCATAAATTGATAAAATATGAGTTTTGTGGCCTTATAAAGTGTGCAAATCTACATGTGGGGTTAAATCTGATCTAAATATTTTTGTTGTCATTTCATGTTTCATGTTTAATCCTAATAAATCAAAGATATGTCAGCACCATGACTGAAAACTACCTTCATTACAGCCCTTTTATAT